GAGGATAGGAAGCACAGCTGTGTGACTGGTTGGTGAATCTAACCATCAGTTTGGGGAGAATCTTCTCTCCTATTTTTAGCTTGCCCTGACCTTGGCATTTTCAGTGTGGGCTGCCCTAGGCGCCTTGGGTCACAGGCTGAATCTGGCTTCCACTGAACCCTACGATACAACTACCAGAACTACCACAGACTGAGAGCAGGATTTGGCTTTGTCTTTTAGTAGGAAAACAAGGGAATTGATGACTTCTTGGTTTTTTTCCCCCTTCACTTCTGTTAAAAATAAAAGTATTTGATAAATCCACATATTTGATGTACTGTTAATTTTTAATCAGACCCCATAATTATTTTTGTAAGTAGTTAGCAATAGCCTCCATTATATTTTTCTGCACAATGAACATTTATTATGCAGCTACAGTATGTGGGCTGTTTCTTTGAGAAAACGGCTTTTAAAGTTACAGAATGTCAAAATTTACTAAATGCATTTCTTCGTCTTGTAGTTTTGCTCATGATAAAGTACTTACTCTTTCCCTTACTCAGGCCATATTTGGTAGAAAACATTGTCTGCCTTAAGTGCAGCAGTTTTTCATTGTTTTTGATTTCCACTCATCTCTTTAGTTAGCAGAAATATTGGTAGTGTGCAGTGTAAAGAAGACCCAAACCAAAAGCTTTTTGTAGATGTCAACTAAAATTAATGTTGCAATGAGAACGTGTGATCTGTTTGATTATAATCCCAGGCTGTCAGAAATGCTTGAGTAAAAAGCCAGTGTCATTCATCCCCCAAAACATGAATTCTGGAGAATTAATAGATTTTTTTATGAGATAGCATCTACGCTAAGTTCAAGTTCATAGATCAGTAATTCCAACTGAAAGGTTTAGCTTTCACCTTTTTCTCTATGCGAGATTAGAAAAGTATATTTAAATCTGATTATATATGTAAACATTTCTGGCAGAGCACCCTGCATCACATCTCAGTCATACCATTCTCCTTGTACAGCACATGGAATTCTAAGGACAGATCAAAGAGCAACAAAAGATGTAAGAATGTAGGAATTTATGGAGAATTAAAATTTCCTCAGAGGTCGATTAAGCTATAAATGGTAACGTAAGGGACAAAAGAGCCAATAAAAAGTGTTAGAAATGTGCTGAGTTAGCTTAGTGTATGTTAATATACCCTAGTGGAAATATATTAAATGATTTGTAACTTTTTCAGTCTTTTATTATAAATCTATGTAGTGAGTCAGAATAAGAATATGATGGACTGAATGCTGTTCCTTTATGACTCCTATTACAGATTTATCACTGATGGTTAATCAGTGTTAGTGATGACTTGGTAATATGGGAACTTAGCAAATAACGAAGTATAGGAATGAAGGCTGAATAGTAAACTCCTACCGAACCAGAACAATATTACAAAAGAAGCAACATAAAGAGAGTAACTGGGATCAGCCTTTAACCTTATGGATAACATTCTTTCATGGATTTCTGATTATTCATGGGGGAGTGCTTTCACTGACCCAGCAGGGTTAAATAACGATCACAAGGAAGTGACGGTATATTTCTTACATGGCCATAACATTAATCTTCTACCCACTCATGGGACCAGGCAGACTCTTACCTGCATGGTTCTAGACTAATATATTTTTGGAGTGCTTTTAAGGCTGTATCTGATAAACTCAAAATATAGACTCCATAGACTCCAAAAGGACTGTGATGTTTAACAACCACAAGTCCACCTGAGCAAAGTGGTCTATGAGCTGGTAAAACTCAAATGTTGCTGATCCAGATGACAGAATCACCTCAGCTATGACCAGACAAGCCAGCATGTGTCATATAGATGTAGCTAATTATCCTGCCAGAAGGCAAGACCCCCACTGACCTTATACCGTCTTCTCAACAATCTATAATGATAATAAAGAAATGACTGGCTGTTTCAGAAAATCAGCAAGAGTTCCCCTCGTGGCGAACGGGGGAAGTCCCGGATGACTGGAAAAAGGCTAATGTAGTGCCAATCTTTAAAAAAGGGAAGAAGGAGGATCCTGGGAACTACAGGCCAGTCAGCCTCACCTCAGTCCCTGGAAAAATCATGGAGCAGGTCATCAAAGAATCAATCCTGAAGCACTTGCATGAGAGGAAAGTGATCAGGAACAGCCAGCATGGATTCACCAAGGGAAGGTCATGCCTGACTAATCTAATCGCCTTTTATGATGAGATTACTGGTTCTGTGGATGAAGGGAAAGCAGTGTATGTATTGTTTCTTGACTTTAGCAAAGCTTTTGACACGGTCTCCCACAGTATTCTTGTCAGCAAGTTAAGGAAGTATGGGCTGGAAGAATGCACTATAAGGTGGGTAGAAAGCTGGCAAGATTGTCGGGCTCAACGGGTAGTTATCAATGGCTCCATGTCTAGTTGGCAGCCGGTGTCAAGTGGAGTGCCCCAAGGGTCGGTCCTGGGGCCGGTTTTGTTCAATATCTTCATAAATGATCTGGAGGATGGTGTGGATTGCACTCTCAGCAAATTTGCGGATGATACTAAACTGGGAGGAGTGGTAGATACGCTGGAGGGGAGGGATAGGATACAGAAGGACCTAGACAAATTGGAGGATTGGGCCAAAAGAAATCTGATGAGGTTCAATAAGGATAAGTGCAGGGTCCTGCACTTAGGACGGAAGAACCCAATGCACAGCTACAGACTAGGGACCGAATGGCTAGGCAGCAGTTCTGCGGAAAAGGACCTAGGGGTGACAGTGGACGAGAAGCTGGATATGAGTCAGCAGTGTGCCCTTGTTGCCAAGAAGGCCAATGGCATTTTGGGATGTATAAGTAGGGGCATAGCGAGCAGATCGAGGGACGTGATCGTTCCCCTCTATTCGACATTGGTGAGGCCTCATCTGGAGTACTGTGTCCAGTTTTGGGCCCCACACTTCAAGAAGGATGTGGATAAATTGGAGAGAGTCCAGCGAAGGGCAACAAAAATGATTAGGGGTCTGGAACACATGAGTTATGAGGAGAGGCTGAGGGAGCTGGGATTGTTTAGCCTGCAGAAGAGAAGAATGAGGGGGGATTTGATAGCTGCTTTCAACTACCTGAAAGGGGGTTCCAAAGAGGATGTCTCTAGACTGTTCTCAATGGTAGCAGATGACAGAACGAGGAGTAATGGTCTCAAGCTGCAGTGGGGGAGGTTTAGATTGGATATTAGGAAAAACTTTTTCACTAAGAGGGTGGTGAAACACTGGAATGCGTTACCTAGGGAGGTGGTAGAATCTCCTTCCTTAGAGGTTTTTAAGGTCAGGCTTGATAAAGCCCTGGCTGGGATGATTTAACTGGGAATTGGTCCTGCTTCGAGCAGGGGGTTGAACTAGATGACCTTCTGGGGTCCCTTCCAACCCTTATATTCTATGATTCTATGAATCTATGATTCTTCACAAAAACAGCAAATACTTCCCTACTGTATAACATGGAAGTATTTCCAAGCTTTCTAATGCTCAGATTAAAAATTGGAATGCAGCTGCTAAATTAGGGCTAGACTGAGCCCACATGAAGTCCAGGAAATTTGATTTAGTTCACTGGGGAGGGAGTAATTTACATCACCCCATTGGGAAATACAGCTTACTGCACCCTTGCCCTTGGTCAACTTTGCTGGTCAACACGTAGGAAGGAAAGTCACTGCTCTGGCACCACCCATTCCTCATCCTTCCCCACACACTGACAGGGAGAAATATCAGGCCTGCAGTAGAGCTGGTTGAAATTTTTTCATTCAAAACTATTCACAGAAATAAAATTGGATTTTTCAAACAGGTCCAGCATGAAGCCACTGCTCTTCCTGTACTACACATGCCCCAGGTAAACCTAACATTGCTGTGCATGGGATGGGGTAGGGAGGCTTTACTCACCCCTACTTCCCTGCATAGCCACATTAGGGCTAGTGAAAATCTAGCCGTAAATAAGATAATCAAAGGGAAATACTATAGAATATCAGTTTCCACAGTTTCTGAGATGAGAAGGCTCTTGAAGGGGTAAATTTTTAAATTAAAGTATTATGGAACAGTTTACTTATCAAGTCCCTTTCCTGTTATTGAGGTTCAAGTGGGAATAGATGGTTTTCCACAGTAGTGTTAGAAAATCCTTCTTTTAAAAGAATTCCTAATCTGTGCCTTCATGTGCCAACCAGCCTGTCTAAAAAACAGAATTTTAGTTCCAGTAGCAATGTATCAAGAGACTAAGTGTACAATTTTCAAAAGTGCCTATGTGATTGAGGAGCCTAAATTCCATGTTCAAAAGCGATTTGTGAATGTAATGTAATTTTTGAAAATGGGTCAGGCTCCTAAGTCACTGAGGCATTTGTTAACACTTTAACCCAGATGTTCACCACATCGCAATCTGTCAAATTTGCTTCACTGAATTGATCATGAGCCTCCACTTGTCTGCAAGAAAAATTATAGATCCTAATTGTTGCACCCATACTTTGCACTCTGTCCTGGGTTTTCCCCATATTTGTTAAGGTTCCCCGCACATGATCTGATTGCAGGATTGGGGTATGCATGTGTAGCCTATAGGGCTAGCCTGCTGGCTTGCCTATATATCTTTTCTTATGGGTTTGATCATTTGTTTTATTATAGTAGGTTTATCAATTTGTATTAGAGTATTTTGGCTGTAACGCAACATACCGGCCACATCCTCGATGTTGAGCTAAGACAAGTTAGCATACATATACTTGAGACCTTTAGCCTATATAGGTGATGATGAGCTAAAGCATAGATTATATATATGTTTGTGACCTTCAACATAGATAAGTGAGCAATTTAAAGCAAGTTGGTGTATGTAGGGCCACCCAAGTTCATTCCCCTTTTCAGACTTAAGTGGTACACTACAAATAACATGGAAATAACTGGTTAGGCCAGAAATAACAGAGGTGAGAATGAGCTAATGGTCACAATGAATATGTCATTAATACGCACGAACATGCCAGCCTATAGAGTAAGTGTGCCCTGATATTTCTGTAGGTGAGGAAGTTAAGTCTGGACATGCAAGGAGAGCACCTAGTGTTCAGGTTCTATAAGAAGGGCAATCCACCATGTTAGAGAAGTTCGTTCATTGTTTAGTTAGTTCATTATTTCGTTTTTCATAGTTAATTCTTAAGTAAATTCTAAATTAGCTTCTATAGTTTTTCTATAGCTTTAGCTCTAGCTTCTACTAAGTTATTCACCTCCCACTCAAGATTCGAGAAACCTGAATCATTGGACTCTTTTGGCATGCCAGAGGCGAGGCTGGTTCTTTGTCTCTTACCACCAGGTTATCCAGAAAGGGTGTGAGTATGTTAATCAAGAAACCTTTATAATATATAATACCACATGTACTGCTACAACAATAATACTGTTTTTGTAATGGATTGATTATTCAATTTCTATTTGATTACTAGTCCATTACTATTCCATTTATCTGAATAAAAGTCTTTAAGGCTGCATTTTGTTCTCAGTATGCATAGCCTTGTCATAAATCCTTAGGGTCCTTGCAAATTCTGTGTCGCCTGATTCTGGGACAAGAATCTTATTATCTTCTGATCAGATTAATTGGTGAGTATATAACTCATATTATCTAAACAATATTATTAATATCCTAAAATCAGGCAACAGCATGTATACTTTAGAAATTTTAACATTTAAGTGGGCAAGTATGTGGTACCCCCAAAATATAAAAGCCCCAATGTGTGTTAGGGATACTAATTTTAAATACTTGAGCATAAACAGACATTAGATTATTTAAAGGGCACACACAGACGTTTGCACATGCACATTTGATTGATGGGGTTTGAAAATTTCCCCCAAATATTTTAGGACTATTCTATTTCTCTGTGTATTTCTCACTGCTTTGCAGAAGATTGGTGTAAACCAGTCTGAAAGATATGGTTTGACATAAATTGGTTGTTTGGTGGTGGTGTGTGGTTAGAGACAGATAATATTTGTCAGATTGTGAAGTACTTTGAGTCAGCAAAGCCCTCTGACAGCTGCTGAGCTATCTGAGATAACTTTAAAAGAAAATGATTATCGCAAATACATTTCTGATGTGGTGCTTAAAATCTGCCTCCATTATACAAAGCTAGGAGAGAAGTTTATCTTTATCTTAGCACCTGGGAACCTCCAGGGCTAAACAATTCAAAGGAGAATCACAGTATTCCATGATTTGTATCAAATTTGTGGATTGAAAATAAAATGATCATCTCCACAACATGGCCACACATCTGGAGAACGTTTAACACACCAAAGTTTAGTTTCATATGTTACTGTATGTAGGGCTGAACTGTGGCTTTGCCACAAGCCCAAAGTAAGGAGCTTCACACTGTTGCATTGCCCTTTGAGCAGCCTGGGAGAGAGATTGTGTTTCAGGGCATCACACTCTCTTTCTTGGTTCCCCCAGTGTTTCAAAAGGGGTGTAAACTCTAACGGGCCTTTACATAGCTCTGTATACATTCCCCAACACACTGGTGCAGCTATGGTACATTGAAGCAGATGGAGCCAAGGCCCCTCCCAGTCCTCACCCCATTCCATTCCCATCCATCTGCTCCAGGGAGGATGTAACTGCCCTGGCCATCTTTCATACCGTCCCACACTGCTACCCATGATGCAGCCAGCCAGCACAGGAACATGAGGAGATGCCTTGTGCCCGCTGCTTCACTGCTGTCTTTCTATATTTCATCCTCTTTCAATTTGTTTTTCTAGGCACAGAGACATGAATCTGAAAGAAGTGCCCTGTAAAGGTAGGTTGGGAAAAAAGGTATTATTCCATTATTAATGTACAATAGCTTATTACTAATTACTCAGGAAACTGTGTACCATTCAGTGCACATAATAATTCCCATTAACTTTTGTGCTCTGAAGAGACATTACAGACATTAAGATTTAAATATTTATTCCCTTTCCCCCTCTTTCTTTTTCATGGGATTATAAATATAATAGGTTGATCCTGTAGTATTTGTGCAATGGCCTTTTTCAGAATCAGAACTTTTTGTGAATTTTATTGTTTGTTTTTACAATGTTCTGTTTTCTTGTCAACACTGGAAAAGAAAAACAGTGGTTTTTTTTCAATTGTTAGTTTTTTCAGTTTATATTTTTTACACCCCTTTTCCTCCTTTCTCCCTTTTTTCAGCAGTGAAAAGGAAACAGAGGAAAAAGAGGGGACACAATGCAGAAAGTAGACAAAAGCTGAAGAAAAATACCTCTCACAACAAAATTTGAGGGAAAAAAATGAAACCTCACAATTTTGCATATACTTTTTCCTAAAAAAACTAAGTGCAAGCTCATTGCTTCTGAAAACCTGCAGAATGAAAATGACTTTGACATGTTCAAACTTTTTCTGCAAAATGTTTTCCCTTTCCTGACCAGCCCTACTTCCAACTCCTTTGGGCTTCCATGAGAACAATGGCGATTGCTAGGGTCTGAACACTTGTGAAGATTTTATCCCTTCATCTAGATGCCTCAATGAGAGCTCTTTTGAAAATCTGGCCCAATTGTGGGTGCTGAGGTCTTTTGAAAAACTGCCCTTTTGTGATTTTTTTTTCAGCTGAAGAAATGCCATCACAAGTCGGTGCAAATTAGGGGCTCGATCCTGCTCCATTTGAAGTCAGTGGCAGTTTTGTCATTGACTTCAGTGAGAGCCAAAATAAACCCCTAATAGGAACTGAAGAGGGGAGTGTGTGGAAGGATGGGGACTGATGGATGAATCAACAATCTCTCTTCTTCCATTCTCCCCTTTAAAATCTCAGCAGTAGCAGACTGCTTTATGCCTAGCCCATTTCATTCTGTTGACATCTCTTGGGAGACAGCTTTTTTAAAATAAAAATTACTAAATTAGCTATTAATAGCAAAAATTATTAATACAGGAATAAGGCATAAAACATACGAGTCTCCTTCTAACACCACAGAGCAATCTTTAAAGATTACTTTACTATTCACCATAAATATTTATACAGTAATATAGGTGGCCCCAATTGTTGGTGACAAAAATAATAAGATATAACATATTTTTGTCCTCAAACTTCTAAAACGTAGGGATCCAGTAATGGAGGAAGGTTAGATCCTGCTCATCCATTCTCCTTAGGGGTGTCTGGCCCTGGTGGTCAAAGCCCATTGAAGACAATGAGGATCAGAACTCAGCAGAACTGCTTGTTTGGAGTCCAAGGTGTTCATTCGGAAACCCAGCAGGGCAAATTCTTCACACAGCAAAACTCTGATGCACAATCAGCTGTTTCCCAAATAGATAAAAAGGACTCAAATGTAACATTTCAATCATGATCTCTGTAGAATCAACTCATTTCTCTCCTGTGGTGTATTTTGCCTGTAAAATTGACAAATAACAGGTAATGCACCTCAAGGGGATTTCGGCCCAATGAAAGGGTAAAAACTGCTTGAGGCAAGGGAGCTAGTAGTCTTTTGAAAAACCAAAACCACAGTGTCCTTTTATTTTCAAAGAGATTTAATTTGTTCATGCATTATGCAACAGATATAAAATTCTTTTTGTGTCCTGTTGACATTTCTATAAGCTCATTTCTATATTTTGTTTGTAAATAAAGCATTTTTAACAAAGAAACATGATGTATATCTCTTTCCCTTTGAATGGCTTGTTGCTTTGTTATATCTAGACCAATATTTTGGGCCTGAAATCAGTGAGAATTTTGCCATTGAATTCAGTGAGAGCAGGATTAGGCCCTTGTAGAGAGCTATTAATTGACTCAATTAATATGTACGATCCTTTTTGAATTGTTCAGTTCCCTCAAACTTGCTTTTGAGGCTGACTTTACGAATGGAACAAACAAAGACCTGCATATCTCTGCATACAACACAACAAACGGTAATTCCATCAAATTTTCCTTTTTAGCTGCCAGCTCAAGACAGAGCTCTTTTGATATAAGGTTACCGAGGCTGACATTATCACATCATTTATAAACACAACCCAAACATACTGGATGTATCTTTAAAAAAGAAAACATTACACAGTTTCAACACGGAATTGAAAAGTAACCATCTTCCTGTTTTATCTGTCTGCCAGAAAGTACGATACCAACTTAAATTCACTAGAGGGAATTTGGTGATGTGTGTCATTGCCTTGAGGCCTGTTTTCACATACACTAGCACTTTGAAACTAAATATTTTTGTACTGCACTTCATAGGCAAAGTGCCTGAGGAGATTTGCTTTTAATAGAGACAATAGGAGTGTTCCAATTTTTCTCCACGAAAAAGAAAATATCTCTTCTGGGCTTATGAATAATTTTGGAGCTCCACTATTAAACAAATATTTCCTGTTTTGTGGCCTGGCAAATCCTTTAAATACTCATGGTACCTCCATATTACTCTATATACTCCTCCCACATTCCCCAATCAATTAAGGATTTTGCTTTCTTTTGTGATAATTGAACAAGGTTCATTGTGATTACAACAGCATAGACAAAAGCATATAGTTTTATGTAGAGTAAATAAAAACATCATCGATTTGATTGGAAGGGCACAGTTTTAAACTGGTACAAACGGTCTTGTGAATGACTCAATAGTCTTTTCTTGTCTGATTACTACATGAAAGAAATCATGGGTGAACTGCCCCCTGAGGCATCCAAGGCTTAGGCCAGGTCCACACTACACACCTATGTCAGCATAACTACGTCGCTCAGGGGTGTGAAAAATGCATACCAGCCTTAACCCCCTCATGGAGACAGGGCTGTGTTAATGGAAGGGCTTCTCCCATTGATATAGCTGCTACCTCTCAGGGTGGTGGAGTACCCACACCAATGGGAGAAACTCTCCTGTCAGCATAAGTAGCGTCTTCACTAAGTGCTACAGTGGCACAGCTGCACCAGTGCAGCTGCACTGCTGCAGGACTGTAAGTGTAGACAAGCCCTAAGTCTAACATTTAGGTGCCACTGGCATTCACAAAACCCCACTCAGCTGCCGCCTAATCCTGGAGGTGCCTGAATTCCATAGGTACAGAAGTTTTCACCACTAAAGTCCCTAAGGCCTCTACATTTCTGCTGGTGGCTATAAGCACAGCTGCCTTAGGCCTGATTGTGTCAAGCTGCTCGCCCCCTAATGCACACCAGGATTCACAAACTAAGCATTGTCCCACCTATATCTTCCACAGCACCCAGTTCAGTAGGTGTGCTCCAAAAAGGCCTAACCTCACCCAAAAAGTGGTGCCAGCCCACCAATACCTAATAGTCCAGTGGTTGGAGCACTCATTTGGGAGGTGTCAGATCCCTGTTCAAATCCCTTCTATTCCTCTGGTGGATTGGGGACTTGAGCTAGGGGGTCTCCCACATCCTAGTTGAGTACCCTAGCCATTGGACTGAAAGGTATGAAGGCAGTCCTCCCTTTCAGGCAAGCTGACTACACTTACTGGATCGGGCCCCACAGGACAATTTAGATGGAGGAACTCCTATCTTCTCTCGGTTCATACATTGCCTGGACTTAGGCATCCAGACACCTGGCATGGGGCTGCAGTGCAGATGCCCAGAGGCAGAAATGTAGGTGCCTCCAGGAAATTTTTACCACAAAATATTTAGGTGCCTACAAGGTTTGGCAGCAGCTGAGCAGGGGTTTTATGAATCTCAGTATGGACTGATTCTGGGATTTAGACACCTAAATGAACAGTCTGGAACCTAATTCCTTTTGTGAATCTAGCCCCTAACTCTTCCCATTCACTGTACAGGGAGCCAGTGTGCCTAACTCAGGGTTGTGAATTCCACTAGGCAGCAGGACACATAAAAGTGGTGTGTTGCAACATGCACACTGCACTGCCTAAGTTTCTCCTTGTGAGTCTGGCCCTAAGTGAATAGCCTGGTAACTACAGTTCACTCTGAGAATATCTAGTACAGGTATTAATTCAGGAGGAGGCAGGGTTCTCAGTCTGCTCCAGATATACTCAAACATACTTGGGCAGACTGTGATACCTTTACTCACTCTGAATAATACATAACATTGCAGGTATTCACCACTCAGTGGAACTTCTTGTGGAGTAATTTTCAGTTACTTTAAGTGTATCACACTCTGTCCCTGTATGAGGTAACATCTCTTCCTGGGATTTGGTTTTACTGGTAGCTCAATTACTAACAGTACATAAATTTCAGCTTCAGGTCACCAAGCCTGACTGTGGCCTGTGTAAGGTTTCCTGCTGGACCTTATCTCCCCTCCCCCCCCCGCCTTATATCCTGCCTCAATGAGACAACAGAATTTACACAACAGCTTTATGCAGGGTTTTAACTCTTGCTAACGAGTTGGTCAACAGAATAACCCTGCACCCCCTATTAAAAGTCATAGATCCTGCCACCTTTTAACAGGCCAATTACTTACCTCTTTGGAATATTTATAACTTTCACTGTACTGCTTTCTTTTCTTTTTCTCTTGGATGTTTTGACTTATTTCCTTGAACCCTTTTCTGTCAGCTGGCATTTCATTTCCAATGTTACTTTTCTGTCCTTTGCAGTTTTTGAGTTTCAGATCCTGTGTCTTCTTTTGATGTAAGGAATAATAATAGGTTGTTAGTAGAATATTGTTTTAGGTTTATTAATATGTATGATGCTGTTTGTTACTTCTTTTTTTCAGTTCCTTGAAATTTACTTTTGTAGCCATGTTTTGGCAGGCAATAGATGGGGACTGTCTAGTTACCTAGTCTTTAAACTATAAAAAAGAAGGGATGAGAAGCTGAATGCTGAAAATTCAAGTGTGGAATCACAAAATGTGAAAGAGAGAGACACGGAAAAAAAACCTATTACTGTAAATGTCTGGGGATCATGTCTAGGGATATGGGAATAAAATGTTAAAACTATAAGAAGGTTTGAGACACTAAGGTGTGAAAGATGGTAGTAGTTAGATATTAGGGGAAGATTGTTTGTAATCACAATGATGGAGAAGGCTTCAGAATCTGGCATTAGGAGATGTAGAAGAGAGTATCAGAGGCAGAGGTTTTATCCTCTGAGAAAATAGAGATTAAGGGACTGATATTGGCAGGATCAGGGAAATGTGGTGAATCTGTCTCATCAATAGAAGGATTATGAGTCTAACAGGTAGGCTTCATATCCCATGACAGGAGATAGAACTCAAAAATGAAATAACATATGCTGCAATGAGGAAGATATATGTTCAAGACAGTAAGATTTAGATCATGATCTTAACCTCACCTGTAGTGAGTAGGTAAACCTATAAATTATTTTATGATATAAACAAATGTTAGATGTTAGATGTATTGCGTGTAATTGCTTCTGAAAATAATATGCCAAGAATACTTAAACTGAAATAGAAAATAGAAAGTTCCCTTTGATAAGCTGAGCAAAATATCATAAATCCTATAGAACTAGTTAAACCATAGTATGATTAATTACAGGCTGTGCCAAAGTAGACTTACAATGCTTTTAGATGTAAAAGAAACTTCAACAAGGATTAAGAATCAAAGACTAAATGACATTATAGTGTAGGGTGACCAGATAGCATGTGTAAAAAAGTCGGGATGGGAGTGGGGGATAATAGGTGCCTATATAAGAAAAATCCCCCAAAATTGGGACTTTCCCTATAAAATCAGGACATCTGGTTCCCCTATTATAGTCACATTCCTAAAGTTAAAGATGAAAAAGAACAAAGAACTGGTGATAGAAAACATGTGGTCCCAAAATAGTTAATAGGCTCAAGTCTCTCTCAGTTGCTCTGATGTGAATTAACAATAACTCAGTTAATGCAGTTGTCACTCATAACACCTACAAGGCCTACATTTCTAACCGTTACGAAGAACCGTCCTGTTTTTAGTGGAGGGAAATTAATAAATTCTGACCTGCATTATAGTTAAAATATCTATTGATGTAATAGGAGGAATAGCTAAATAATAGCAAACATTGCTAAAATGATTCAGGACTGTTTATGGCCAATGTACTCTAATATTGAACAACACGCTATCAGCAGGAAAATAATAAACCCAATTATGACCAGAAAATTTCTTGAAAAGAGAAGGAAGAGTTTGCAAGAGAGCTTGCAGTCAGTTCCATATTCTTTAAAAAATGTGTATGCTACAATGAATATATTGGAGATGTTTGGCTAGTAAAGACCAATGTAAGTCTAAGCAATATATAATATTCTCTTGTAAGATGTGAGTTGGAATATTGAGTTTTGTTATGGCCATCTTTCCACAGAAGTTATAGGCTTTGAAAATTTTAAGGCTAATGATATTTCACAGTATTAAAAAATAAGGACACAAGCTAAAGTCTATAATCAGTTCAGAAAACGAGGTCAGAAAAGATGTAATTAAATTGTTCAGTTGTAAATTACAGCTTTAGGAAGAATAGTATACCAACAAAGCTATAAATTTAAATACCCAAATGTCTTTAGCATTACACTCAAATTTCACTCCTTATTACTCAATTGCTTCCTTCCAAAGGAGATTTCTCTGGCAGCCTCACCTTAGGAACTAA